AGTACAGTCTAGGAGCGAACAGAAGAAAGAACGGAAAGAGCAACTCCTGAAGCAGTTGCCTGAGAAGCCACCACCTGAGCCTAAGCGGAAAAAACCGCTAAAATTCACCAGAGCGGACGCATTAATAATTCGGCCTGTTGAAAAGGCAAACTATGCTGAGATACTGCGCCGAATAAAGAAAGAAGTCCCTAATGAGCAAGTCTGCAATACGGTTGATAAGATCCGCAAGACCAGAGACGGAGACATGCTCATCGAGCTCTCTAGAAAGAGCACTGACAAAGGACAAGCTCTGCAAAAGACGATCCAGAGTATCCTGAAAGAGGAGGCCAAAGTCATCAGTAAGGGCCCACAGGAGCAATTAGAAATCCGGAACATCGATGACACAACAACTAAAGATGACATTCGGGCGGCGTTACAGGAAGTAGCTGGAGATAGCTTTGAGATACCGGAAGGAGCTATCAAAATCAGACCAGCCTACAGAGGTACCCAAACTGCCCTAGTGAATCTACCAATAACAACAGCGCAGACAGTACTCGGAGAAAGGGGCAAGATCAAGATCGGATGGTCGAATTGCCGGGTTAGAGTTGTGAAAAGACCACAAGCTTGCTTGAAGTGCTGGCACTATGGACACGTTGCTGCCCAGTGTAGAAGCGGAATAGATCGATCAAAGCTCTGTATTAAGTGCGGACAAACTGACCATCTAGCAGCTAAATGCCCTAATGAAGCAAAGTGTATGTTATGTGATGAAAAACCCGGCTCAACAGATACTGCCCACCGGGCTGGTTCTAGTAAATGCCCAGTTTTCCAAGAAGCACTCCAGAAGACAACAAATAAACGAGCATGAAAATATTACAGCTAAAGATTAATCATTGTGAGGCTGCACATGACTTGCTTCTGCAGACAGTGCGTGAACTGGGGCCTGACCTTGTTCTAATAGCCGAGCCATATAAATGCCTTAAAGGCAAATTATGGGAAACGGACACGACCACCAGGGCCGTCAGTTGGTCCTGTGGCAAGCTCCCATTCCAGAGCGTAGTTAACAATTGCAATGCCGGCTTTGTAGCAGTATCAGTAGATGGCGTTCGCTTCTATAGCTGCTACGCACCACCTAGCCTCTCTATTGTTGACTTCACTGACTTTCTGGATCGACTGACAGAAGACGCGAAGCAGCATCATCCAGTCGCGATAGCCGGCGACTTTAACTCCTGGGCAGTAGACTGGGGTAGCAAGCTAACTAATGTGGAATGCTAGCTATTTCGACTAAATAAAGTGGAACGATCACATCAGCGCTCTTCGTAAAGAATGTCTCAGGAAAAGAAGAATATCACAGCTTGGCTTCCGTCGACCTAACTTTGCAGAACTGGTGGCAGAGTATAAAAAGGCTCGTCGGGAACTAAACAAAGCCATCAAGGATAGTAAAAGACGCTGTTGGAAAGAACTCGTCGAAGAAGTGGAGAAGGACCCATGGGGCAAACCGTACAAGGTGGTCACGGCCCACCTGAAATACCAGCCAATGCCGTCGCCTACGTGTCCGCGGCTCCTAGAGAGGATTGTTACTGTGCTGTTTCCTCAACAACCGGTATTCACCGGCCAGCTAAAGCAGCTAAACCCTGAAGACATTCCATCTGTCACGAAAGAAGCACTAATGGAGGCTTGTAACCGCGTCGGAAATAACAAAGCGCCGGGACTAGACGGAATCCCTAATATTGCCTCGAAAACAGCCATAAAGGCAGCACCAACGTTAATCTTGGAAATTTACAATACGTGCCTCAAGGAAGGGACATTTCCTCGGAAATGAAAACAACAACGACTGGTTCTACTCCCGAAAGGAAAGAAGCCACCAGAAGAGCCGTCATCCTACCACCCACTTTGCATGCTGGATACAGCCGGTAAGATATTCGAACGCACAATTCATCAAAGAATAGAAGCAGTTATGGATCCACTCCTGGCAAACAACCAGTATGGATTCCGAAAAGGACGATAAACCCTGGACGCGATCAATCTGGTTGTTACTACGGCCCAGGAGGCAATTGCAAGAACCAGATGGAAGGGTGGTACGAAAAAGTACTGCCTGGTGGCGACGTTAGACATCAAAAACGCCTTCAACTCTGCTAACTGAGACTGCATTATGCAAGCTCTTCAAGACAAGAACGTGCCAGGATACCTACGTAAAATAGTAACTAGCTA